TCCCTGGACCATGGGTGTCCTCCCCGGGTGTCCTCTCAGGGTGTGCTCCCAGGGTGTGCTCCCCACTCCCAGGGTGTCCTCCCAGAGTGTCCTCCCAGAGTGTCCTCCCTCCTCCCAGGGTGTCCTCCCAGGGTGTCCTCCCTGCTCCCAGGGTGTCCTCCCTGCTCCCAGGGTGTCCTCCCTGGACCCCTGGGTGTCCTCTCTGCTCCCAGGGTGTCCTCTTTGCTCCCAGGGTGTCCTCCCTGCTCCCAGGGTGTCCTCCCTGCTCCCAGGGTGTCCTCCCTGCTCCCAGGGTGTCCTCCCTGCTCCCAGGGTGTCCTCCCTGCTCCCAGGGTGTCCTCCCTGCTCCCAGGGTGCCCTCCGAGGGAGTCCTCCCTGGACCCCTGGGTGTCCTCCCAGGGTGTCCTCCCTGGACCCTGGGTGTCCTCCCTGGACACCTGGGTGTCCTCCCAGGGTGTCCTCCCAGGGAGTCCTCCCTGGACCCTGGGTGTGTCCTGCAGGGAACCAATCACTATCAACATGACCTTCCTGAGTTACTGGCTATTGAGCGTCGTCAGGTGAGGGTGTTGCAAAGGTAAGTTCTTAATTAAGATTAGAAAACCTTCCTCTTTTTATCTTAAGGTTGAAGCCCTTGGTTGACCCGGAGGTAAATATAGCAGCCGATATCCTGTTCCCTCTTCGAGTTTCTAGGCTCTATTATCGTCGCACTTTTAAGCAGAGTTTAATCCGGGATTTACCTGTGGGTGACTTCGAGAGTTTTTCCATTCACCTTCAGGCCTGTTGTCAGGCTTCAATGAGATTCACCTGATTAATCAAGCTGTTGAAGTTTAAGAAGCATATAGGCCCATATATTGTTATCACAAACCAGTGCTTGGTGAAACTCTTACTTGAACCTGTCAAAATAGTCGTCCAAGCTGATATATTTTGTATAAAAAGATTTGTATAAGAGAAAACGATTTCTGACTCATTTTGAAAGTCTTTGAGGTTTCCCTTCCAAGTAGATCTTCCCCCTGGACACTATCCGTCAGTAGGTTTACAACCAGGTCCTCTATTAATCGTGGGCGATTGGAGACGAATAGTTAAGGATCGGTTCTATTCGTAAGAAGTTTGTGATCTATTTGTAAAAGGTTGTGATGTATTCTTTAGAAGCTTCTGATCTATTCGTCAGAAGTTTGTGATGTATATGTTTGAAGTTTGTGATATATTCGTTACAAGGTTGTGATCTATTTGTCAAAAGTGTGTGTGATCTATTTGTCAGAACTTTGTGATCTATTTCTCAGAAGTTTGATATCTATTTCTCAGAAGTTTGTGATCTTCTTTGCCATAGATGTGACCTCCGGGATCACATCTATCCGCTCCGTGATCACATCTATCACTCTAGGGGTCACATCTATCACTCTAGAGGTCACATCTATCACAGCTATACCTCCAGTTTGTAGGCCTTCCAGGACCTAACTGGAATCTCAGTTTTTCTATAGATTTTCTTTCATTTATGTAAATATCTCAGGCCCCCTAGGCCTAGTACATGGACTAATTGTTATAGAAACATGAGGAATTTTCGTTCAATACTATATAAATCTTAGGGAAGCAAATTTATTTATTAAAAAAAAAACGGGATGTATTTTCATGGTTTCCTTCTGATTGGCAAACTGGCCTTGTATTCTAGGGATTGTATTAATTTATTTATATTGGTGAAGTGAGCAGTGGACCACTGCTGGAGGATACTCTAATTTGGGCAAGATCAGAGGCGATTGGGAAACAGTTCAGAGACAGTTTAAAGAACAGCACAGACGGTCTTTAGAGCTGTTCGCAGACAGTCTATAGAGCGCCACACAAACGCTCTATTGAGCTGTTTCGGAGCGAAGTACCAACCTGGTTAGAAACAGTATTCCAAGAGATTCGTGAAACGACATGTGAAGATGTTTGAAATGTGTACTGAGTGGCTTAGCAGCGGTCAGTGGAACCATGGGAGTTGTGGAACCATGGGAGTTGAAGAACCATGGGAATTGTGGAACCATGGGAGTTGAAGAACCATGAGAGCTGAAGAACCATGGGAGTTGAAGAACAATGGGAGTTGAAGAACCATGGGAGTTGAAGAACCATGGGAGTTGAAGAACCATGGGAGTTGAAGAACCATGGGAGTTGAAGAACCATGGGAGTTGTAGAACAATGGGAGTTGCGGAACCATGGGAGTTGTAGAACCATGGGAGTTGAAGAACCATGGGAGTTGTGGAACCATGGGAGTTGTGGAACCATGGGAGTTGCGGAACCATGGGAGTTGCGGAACCATGGGAGTTGTGGAACCATGGGAGTTGTAGAACCATGGGAGTTGTGGAACCATGGGAGTTCTGGAACCATGGGAGTTCTGGAACCATGGGAGTTGTAGAACCATGGGAGTTGTGGAACCATGGGACTTGTGGAACCATGGGAGTTGTGGAACCATGGGAGTTGTAGAACCATGAGAGTTCTGGAACCATGGGAGTTCTGGAACCATGGGAGTTGTGGAACCATGGGAGTTGTGGAACCATGGGAGTTCTGGAACCATGGGAGTTGTGGAACCATGGGAGTTGTGGAACCATGGGAGTTGTGGAGCCATGGGAGTTGAAGAACCATGGGAGTTGTGGAACCATGGGAGTTGTGGAACCATGGGAGTTGAAGAACCATGGGAATTGTGGAACCATAGGAGTTGAAAAACCATGGGAGTTGAAAAACCATGAGAGTTGAAGAACCATGGGAGTTGTGGAACCATGGGAGTTGAAGAACCATGGGAGTTATGGAACCATAGAAGTTGTAGAACCATGGGAGTTGAAGAACCATGGGAGCTGAAGAACCATGGGAGCTGAAGAACCATGGGAGTTGAAGAACCATGGGAGTTGAAGAACCATGGGAGTTGTAGAACCATGGGAGTTGAAGATCCATGGGAGTTGAAGAACCATGGGAGCTGAAGAACCATGGGAGCTGAAGAACCATGGGAGTTGTAGAACCATGGGAGCTGAAGAACCATGGGAGTAGAAGAACCATGGGAGCTGAAGAACCATGGGAGTTGTGGAACCATGGGAGTTGAAGAACCATGGGAGTTGAAGAACAATGGGAGCTGAAGAACCATGGGAGTTGTGGAACCATGGGAGTTGTGGAACCATTGGAGTTGAAGAACCATGGGAGTAGAAGAACCATGGGAGCTGAAGAACCATGGGAGTTGTGGAACCATGGGAGTTGAAGAACAATGGATGCTGAAGAACCATGGGAGCTGAAGAACCATGGGAGTTGTAGAACCATGGGAGCTGAAGAACCATGGGAGCTGAAGAACCATGGGAGTAGAAGAACCATGGGAGCTGAAGAACCATGGGAGTTGTGGAACCATTGGAGTTGAAGAACCATGGGAGCTGAAGAACCATGGGAGTTGAAGAACCATGGGAGTTGTGGAACCATTGGAGTTGAAGAACCATGGGAGCTGAAGAACCATGGGAGTTGTGGAACCATTGGAGTTGAAGAACCATGGGAGCTGAAGAACCATGGGAGTTGAAGAACCATGGGAGTTGTGGAACCATTGGAGTTGAAGAACCATGGGAGCTGAAGAACCATGGGAGTTGAAGAACCATGGGAGTTGAAGAACCATGGGAGCTGAAGAACCATGGGAGTTGAAGAACCATGGGAGTTGAAGAACCATGGGAGTTGAAGAACCATGGGAGTTGAAGAACCATGGGAGTTGAAGAACCATGGGAGCTGAAGAACCATGGGAGTTGAAGAACCATGGGAGTTGAAGAACCATGGGAGTTGAAGAACCATGGGAGTTGAAGAACCATGGGAGCTGAAGAACCATGGGAGCTGAAGAACCATGGGAGTAGAAGAACCATGGGAGTTGAAGAACCATGGGAGTTGAGGTATTTCCAGGGGTTTAATAGCAATTTATGGAACGCTTATAAAAGGATTTGTTGAGCGCGTTCAAACCTATTTCTGGGGCGGTATAAAAAGAATGTCGATCAGATCTGAGAGAGACATTCATTGCTGTTTACAAGCTTCGCATGACACGAAATTTAAAGGCATATAACGATATTATGATTATTAAAGAGAACGATATTATGGTGAACAATATAACAGAGAACGATGTAACTAAAGAACAAGATAACAGCAAACAGTATAGCAGATAACGATATAGTAGTAAATATAACAGAACGATATAATAGTGAACAATTTAACAGAGAACGAAGTAAAAGGGAAAGATATATAACAGATAGTATAAGACATAACGATATGTTTATTATATGAAGAGGGAGTAAGAATGTACATATGACCCAACATATAACCTTTAGGTTTATTGACATAACAGCTGACTGTTCAACAGCCACATAACAGATGTCTGTTCAACAGCCACATAACAGTCTGTTCAACTGTGAGGATGACCAGATCATGGTGAGGATGGCCAGTTAATGTTGAGGATATCCAGTTAATGTTGAGGATATCCAGCTGATGTTAAGGATATCCAGATGATGTTGAGGATATCCAGCTGATGTTCAGGATATCCAGCTGATGTTGAGGATATCCAGCTGATGTTGAAGATAGCCACCTGGAGATTGTTGGGTCCAAATGATGTTATCCTGAGCTTTTCTCTACCGTCTGAATTTGCCCAAAGGCTCGCTCAGGCAATTTGGTTTTTCGCGGTTTATGGCTCAACTTTTGCGCTGTGTCGAGCAAAACTTGGACGCGGAACCGCTCACTTGCAGCTTTTCATGACGGCTTTATTATGTCGCGTGAAATCATAGTCGTTTATTGATCCCTCTAGAGGCTGGATCCTGTCTTTATTGATCCCTCTAGAGGCTGGATCCTGTCTTTATTGATCCCTCTAGAGGCTGGATCCTGTCTTTATTGGTCCCTCTAGAGGCTGGATCCTGTCTTTATTGATCCCTCTAGAGGCTGGATCCTGTCTTTATTGATCCCTCTAGAGGCTGGATCCTGTCTTTATTGGTCCCTCTAGAGGCTGGATCCTGTCTTTATTGATCCCTCTAGAGGCTGGATCCTGTCTTTATTGGTCCCTCTAGAGGCTGGATCATGTCGTTTATTGGTCCCTCTAGAGGCTGGATCATGTCGTTTATTGGTCCCTCTAGAGGCTGGATCCTGTCGTTTATTGATCCCTCTAGAGGCTGGATCCTGTCGTTTATTGATCCTTCTAGAGGCTGGATCCTGTCGTTTATTGATCCCTCTAGAGGCTGGATCCTGTCGTTTATTGATCCCTCTAGAGGCTGGATCCTGTCGTTTATTGGTCCCTCTAGAGGCTGGATCATGTCGTTTATTGGTCCCTCTAGAGGCTGGATCCTGTCGTTTATTGATCCCTCTAGAGGCTGGATCCTGTCGTTTATTGGTCCCTCTAGAGGCTGGATCCTCTCGTTTATTGGTCCCTCTAGAGGCTGGATCCTGTCGTTTATTGATCCCTCTAGAGGCTGGATCCTGTCGTTTATTGGTCCCTCTAGAGGCTGGATCATGTCGTTTATTGGTCCCTCTAGAGGCTGGATCATGTTTATTGGTCCCTCTAGAGGCTGGATCCTGTCGTTTATTGGTCCCTCTAGAGGCTGGATCCTGTCGTTTATTGGTCCCTCTAGAGGCTGGATCCTGGCGTTTATTGGTCCCTCTAGAGGCTGGATCCTGTCGTTTATTGGTCCCTCTAGAGGCTGGATCCTGTCGTTTATTGGTCCCTCTAGAGGCTGGATCCTGTCGTTTATTGGTCCCTCTAGAGGCTGGATCATGTCGTTTAGAGACCTTGTAGAGACCTCATCAGGTCACTTAGCGGTGTTTCTAGAGGGTTATCTTGAGATGATATCAGGGCTTAGCGTCCCCGCGGCCCGGTCCTCGACCAGGCCTCCTTTTTGTTACACATCCCCAGGAAGCAGCCCGTAGCAGCTGTCTAACTCCCAGGTACCTATTTACTGCTAGGTGAACAAGCGCCTCAAGGTAAAATAAACTTTTTACCCCATTTACTTCCCCATCCACCGGTGATCGAACCCGGAACCTTAAGACTACGAATCGCGAGCGCTGTCCACTCAGCCGTCAGGGTGAATCAAGTAGTTTCCAATAGTCTAGTGATAAATCTCAAGGACGTTCCCAGTCTTTTATGGCTACGTAGATTTTATTGATACATTATTGATACCCTCCCTTCCTGTGTCCGTTTTCTTTTCTCCTTTTTTTTTATTTGCATTATTATTTTGCTAATCTGTGGAGTTATTTATGTATCTCAGATTTTAAGGGGCAAATTTTTGGTCCGATTCTAGTGAGGTATTTCTTTTAATCTCTCTTGCTTCCTATATGAAGTTTTCCTTCTCTTGTATCTTAAGTCCACAGCTGTGGTACCCTGACCCCCTCCATACTCCATCCTGACCCCTCCGTCCATCATACTGACCCCTCTCTCCACCAACTTTTATATATATATATATATATATATATATATATATATATATATATATATATATATATATATAATATTTATTTATTAAGACTAGGATTGTCAGTCGAGGAACCTAGTGACACTCTCTGTCTCTCTCTCTCTGTCTCTCTCTCTCTCTCTGTCTCTCTCTCTTTCTGTCTCTCTCTCTTTCTCTGTCTCTCTCTCTCTGTCTCTCTCTCTCTCTCTCTCTCTCTCTCTCTCTCTCTCTCTCTCTCTCTCTCTCTCTCTCTCTCTCTCTCTCTCTCTCTCTCTCTCTCTCTCTCTCTCTCTCTCTCTGTCTCTCTCTCTCTGTCTCTCTCTCTGTCTCTCTCTCTCTGTCTCTCTCTCTCTCTCTCTCTCTGTCTCTGTCTCTCTCTCTCTCTCTCTCTCTCTCTCTCTCTCTCTCTCTCTCTCTCTCTCTCTCTCTCTCTCTCTCTCTCTCTCTCTCTCTCTCTCTCTCTCTCTCTCTCTCTCTCTCTCTCTCTCTCTCTCTCTCTCTCTCTCTCTCTCTCTCTCTCTCTCTCTCACCTCACCTCACCTCACCCACCGGTGTCAAGGGGCCAGAGAAGCGAGTATTTGCAATGGAAATAATAAATTTCCCCAAGAATTATGACCATGTACTCGGCATTTACAGTGTGTAAACAGTTTCTGATGCCTGCTTTTATTGCCTGCTCTCTCATGTTCCGCTTTATTGTCTGCTCTCCCACGTTCTGCTTTATCGCCTCTGCTCTTCCAAGTTCCGCTTTATTCCCTGTTTTCCCATATATCTCATTAGTCAAACAATTGCCAAATAAAATTAAATGCAACTGGAAATTGTATATCAGTGTGAAAAGCAAACAAAAAGACAAACAAAAAAGCAGAATTAATATATATATATAAAATATAAAATATAAAATAGCATGAATTAACAGCAATATCTCTGGAAGGACTAAAAAACAGCAAGGATAGGCGGTGAAAACGCTGCCACGCCGTCTGCCAAGGGTAAGTTATGGGTTCATTGTATCATTGTACTGTGTTGAGTAGGCCACACCCTGGTCCAGCCAGGTCATCTGGCCCGATCCGGTCAGGTCAAGCTGGCCCGATCCGGTCAGGTCAAGCTGGCCCGATCCGGTCAGGTCAAGCTGGCCCGATCCGGTCAGGTCAAGCTGGCCCGATCCGGTCAGGTCAAGCTGGCCCGATCCGGCCAGGTCAAGCTGGCCCGATCCGGCCAGGTCAAGCTGGCCCGGCCAGGCCCTTGTATCTGTCACTTAGCCCAAGGACCTGCCTTGACGAGGGAGGGGGGGGTGGAGATTCATAGATGGAAAAGGAATCGAAGAGGCTGGTGAGAGGAATAAGGAGGAGAGGAAATGGAGGAAGAGGGGTGAATTAAGGAGGAGAATAGAATGGAAAAATGTATGAAGGGTGGAACAGAGAGAGGAAAGGAAATAAAGAATTAGAAGGAGAAGTTGAGAAACAACAAGAAAATCAACTTATAAAATAATGACCTTTTTAATAAATATACAAAATTGGTATCAGTTGCTTTTATTTTCGCGTCGCCAATTCGCGTTTTGCATCGCCAATTCACATTTCGCGTCGCCAATTCGCGTTTTACATCGCCATTTCACATTTCGCGTCGCCAATTCGCGTTTTGCATCGCCAATTCACATTTCACGTCGCCAATTCGCGTTTTACATCGCCAGTTCACATTTCACGTCGCCAATTCGCGTTTTGCATCGCCAAGTCACATTTCGCGTCGTTAATTCAAGGTTCGTGTCGCTAGTTCATGTAACAGTTTCTTCTTGTGTCATAAATACAAAATCCGACATAAAATATTCCAGAACTAAACAATTAAAGAAGAAGTGTCTGTCTGTCAGCGTGTGTGTGTGTGTGTGTGTGTGTGTGTGTGTGTGTACTCACCTAATTGTACTCACCTAATTGTGCTTGCGGGGGTTGAGCTCTGGCTCTTTGGTCCCGCCTCTCAACCGTCAATCAACTGGTGTACAGATTCCTGAGCCTATTGGGCTCTATCATATCTACATTTGAAACTGTGTATGGAGTCAGCCTCCACCACATCACTTCCTAATGCATTCCATTTACTAACTACTCTGACACTGAAAAAGTTCTTTCTAACGTCTCTGTGGCTCATTTGGGTACTCAGCTTCCACCTGTGTCCCTTGTTCGCGTCCCACCAGTGTTGAATAGTTCATCCTTGTTTACCCGGTCGATTCCCCTGAGGATTTTGTAGGTTGTGATCATGTCCCCCTTACTCTTCTGTCTTCCAGTGTCGTGAGGTGCATTTCCCGCAGCCTTTCCTCATAACTCATGCCTCTTAGTTCTGGGACTAGTCTAGTAGCATACCTTTGGACTTTTTCCAGCTTCGTCTTGTGCTTGACAAGGTACGGGCTCCATGCTGGGGCCGCATACTCCAGGATTGGTCTTACATATGTGGTGTACAAGATTCTGAATGATTCCTTACACAGGTTCCTGAACGCCGTTCTGATGTTAGCCAGCCTCGCATATGCCGCAGACGTTATTCTCTTTATGTGGGCTTCAGGAGACAGGTTTGGTGTGATATCAACTCCTAGATCTTTCTCTCTGTCTGTTTCATTAAGTACTTCATCTCCTATTCTGTATCCTGTGCCTGGCCTCCTGTTTCCACTTCCTAGTTTCATTACTTTGCATTTACTCGGGTTGAACTTCAACAGCCATTTGTTGGACCATTCACTCAGTCTATCCAGGTCATCTTGTAGCCTCCTACTATCATCCTCTGTTTCAATCCTCCTCATAATTTTTGCATCGTCGGCAAACATTGAGAGGAACGAATCTATACCCTCTGGGAGATCATTTACATATACCAGAAACAGTATAGGTCCAAGGACTGACCCCTGCGGGACTCCACTTGTGACGTCTCGCCAATCTGAGACCTCACCCCTCACACAGACTCGTTGTCTCCTGTTGCTTAGGTATTCCTCTATCCACCGGAGTACCTTCCCTCTCACTCCAGCCTGCATCTCCAACTTTCGCACTAGCCTCTTGTGTGGCACTGTATCAAAGGCTTTCTGACAATCCAAAAATATGCAGTCTGCCCACCCTTCTCTTTCTTGCCTTATTTTTGTTGCCTGGTCGTAGAATTCAAGTAACCCTGTGAGGCAGGACCTGCCATCCCTGAACCCATGTTGATGCTGTGTTACAAAGTTCCTTCGCTCCAGATGCTCCACTAGTTTTTTTCGCACAATCTTCTCCATCAGCTTGCATGGTATGCAGGTTAGGGACACTGGCCTGTAGTTCAGTGCCTCCTGTCTATCCCCTTTCTTGTATATCGGGACTACGTTAGCTGCTTTCCAAATATCTGGCAGTTCCCCTGTTGCCAGTGATTTGTTATACACTATGGAGAGTGGTAGGCTCAGTTCTCTTGCTCCTTCCTTTAGAACCCAAGGGGAGATTCCATCTGGGCCTATAGCCTTTGTCACGTCCAACTCTAGTAAACACTTCCTTACTTCCCCACTGGTAATCTCAAACTCTTCCAGTGGTTCCTGGTTAGCTATTCCCTCACTTACCTCTGGAATTTCTCCTTGTTCTAAGGTGAAGACCTCCTGGAATTTCTTATTCAATTCCTCACACACTTCCTTGTCATTTGTAGTGAATCCTTCCGCCCCTATCCTTAATCTCATAACCTGTTCCTTTACTGTTGTTTTTCTCCTAATGTGGCTATGCAACAATTTAGGCTGAGTCTTTGCCTTGCTTGCGATGTCATTTTCGTATTGTCTTTCTGCCTCTCTTCTCATCCTGACATATTCATTCCTGGCATTCTGGTATCTTTCTCTGCTCTCCAGTGTCCTGTTATTCCTATAGTTTCTCCATGCCCTTTTACTTTGCTGCTTAGCTAGCCTACATCTTTGATTAAACCATGGGTTTCTCATCTTCATTTCTCTGTTTTCCTTTTGGACTGGGACAAACTTGTTCGCTGCGTCCTTGCACTTCTGCGTGATGTAATCCATCATATCTTGGGCCGTCTTTCCCCTGAGCTCTGTTTCCCATGCTATATCTGTTAGGAATTTTCTTATCCCCTCATAGTTTCCCTTTCGGTATGCTAACCTTTTGGTTTCGGTATCCCTCCTCGAGTTCAATAACCCTTCTTCAATCAAGTACTCAAACACCAGTACACTGTGGTCGCTCATTCCTACTGGGTCCTCAAAACCGATTTCTCTTATGTCGGAGTCGTTCAGAGTGAAGACTAGGTCGAGTCTCGCTGGTTCGTCATTGCCTCTCATCCTTGTGGGTTCTCCGACATGCTGGGTTAAAAAGTTGCTTGTCACCACCTCCAATAGTTTGGCTCTCCACGTATCC